CCGCCTAATGTTGTCCAACAAAACAATACATATTAAAGGCTATGAAAACAAATAAAGTGAATGTAACCATGTAAGCCTTTTATATCATGTGCAAAAAGGGTTAAAATCACTTTTCATTCTAACATTGTAATATTGCAATCTAAAAACAAAAATAAGGTTTTTAAAGCGGAAGTTAAATTCACTAAACTAAAAATGAAAATAAATGAGAACAAAAGTACAAAGTTGTGTTAGGCTATTTTGATTACCCCATTAGTCACTTTACAGTCAGTGCTATCATAAAAATAGACTTACTTGTAGGTTTAAAATTCTACATGTCACATTTATTGTCCAACTACAAATATTTCAGCAAAATTTATATTTTTGTCAGAATTATTGCACACCTATTTAATTGAGCTCAGTCTGTTTGGTGCACATGCGTGCAGCGGCACTCGTTCTCTGAAGTCTAGCAGAGAAGTTTAGCGGAGAATCCCAAAATGGGGGAGAATGGGGGAAGTCGTGGCCTAATGGTTAGAGAGTCGGACTCGTAACCCAAAAGGTTGCGGGTTCGAGTCTCGTACCGGCAGGGATTGTAGGTGGGGGGAGTGAATGTACAGCGCTCTCTCCCACCTTCAATACCACGACTGAGGTGCACCGAACCCCCAACTGCTCCCCAGGCACCACAGCAAAAATGGCTGCCCACTGCTCCGGGTGTGTGTTCACGGTGTGTGTGTGTGTTCACTGCTGTGTGTGTGCACTTTGGATGGGTTAAATGCAGAGCACTAATTCCATACTTGGAATTATGGTGGGTCACCATACTTGGCCACATGTCACTTCACTTCAAAGCAGAAGGCTCATGCAATCCTGACAGCAAAATATGTCCATGACTTTCTAACATTTACAGATGGAGAACATACCTGTGAAATGTAAGTTATGCATTCAGGAAGAGAGCACATCTCAAACACATTAAATCGCGTGAGTAGCCTCGTGTCTCTGTCAGCGGCACACGCAGCCTTTCTGTCCGAGCATCTGATGGGTCAAGCCGCTTAAACTGATATACGAAACCATAAACTGTCTTACCAATTTTTAAAGGCCTTAATATGAAGCTTGTCACATGTTTTGAACAAATTGGATTATGCACTTTCTCCACAGCAGCTCAGTCTGTGTCCTCTGCTATATTTTCAGATGTGCTCGTATCAAACTACTGTATATCGATATAAACGGTATTGCCTCATATCGAATCGCTTATAAAGAAAACATCGATATATCGTACAAACTCGATATACCGCCCAGCCCTAATAGAGAGTGAAATGTCTACTTTCACATGAACCAACTCAAATGGAAGACAAAATATTCTCAGATTATGTAATCTGTATGAAACATGCATACAGGTGCGTCACTACTGCGGAGATGACGAGTTAGTGTCGCCGACTTCTCTTAAACCGAGAACAAAAAACGCTAATTTATCAAATTATTAAAATGTTAATGCAGTCTCCTTACTGTTTCCCTGACACGTTCATAATCATTACTTCTGCCGGTGTACTGTGTTTATGCGTGTGCTTGAGTGCTTATTAGGCTATGTAGGCAATTAAAGGCTTATTATAATGGTTTAAATGGTTTATTAATAAACATGCGATTAGTCGACTAATGCTTAAAATGATGAATACTACTAGTCGACTAGGAAATCCTTAATCGAGGGCAGCCCTTGATACAAACATTGACACCCAATCAGAATCAATCCTGCTTTAACAAGTTCGAGAATTTAAAGCGGCAGATGAGCGTACGCTTAGAATAAACAGACGATATCGTCCACTAATGTGGACACTAATATAGTTATATTTATAGTTATCGTTCTTGGTGTGAACGGGGCTTAATAGCGATTGATGCAATTTACACAAAGTGCAAATAGCTATAAATTCTATTTACACTGTTAAAATAGCAGGATTGTATGCTGTTTATACTACTTATTGCAAATAGTGGCAATTATCTGCACCTCAGTATTGTAGTACATTATAAAACACTATGCGAGAACAAAAAACGCTAATTTATCAAATTATTAAAATGTTAATGCAGTCTCCTTACTGTTTCCCTGACACGTTCATAATCATTACTTCTGCCGGTGTGCTGTGTTTATGCGTGTGCTTGAGTGCTTATTAGGCTATGTAGGCAATTAAAGGCTTATTATAATGGTTTAAATGGTTTATTAATAAACATGCGATTAGTCGACTAATGCTTAAAATGATGAATACTACTAGTCGACTAGGAAATCCTTAATCGAGGGCAGCCCTTGATACAAACATTGACACCCAATCAGAATCAATCCTGCTTTAACAAGTTCGAGAATTTAAAGCGGCAGATGAGCGTACGCTTAGAATAAACAGACGATATCGTCCACTAATGTGAACACTAATATAGTTATATTTATAGTTATCGTTCTTGGTGTGAACGGGGCTTAATAGCGATTGATGCAATTTACACAAAGTGCAAATAGCTATAGATTATATTTACACTATGTTAAAATAGCAGGATTGTATGCTGTTTATACTACTTATTGCAAATAGTGGCAATTATCTGCACCTCAGTATTGTAGTACATTATAAAACACTATGCAATAATAACGTGTAAATTATAATTTTAATTCAAATTATTAAATGAATGTCACCTTATTGGGACAATAAAGCCCTCCCTACCCTAATCCTACCCGATACTTTTTAAACAATATCTAGGGCATGTTGTAGTCCAGATTAAAATGTAAAAAAAAGTTTGAAAATAAATAGCCTATTAAGTCTAAATATTTAAGTATGAACATCATGGCAAATACTCAAATCTGAATGGCTGTTTAAATCATTTAAACATGATTCAGGAACAGAAAGTAGTGCAGCTGCTTTGTTTACAGGGTTTCCGGGGTAACGGCTGCAGTTAAATTAATTATTATTATTATTACTTCTGCAGTTTAGCGCCACCTGCTGTCAGAGAGTGAAAGTGCGCTTTCATCCAGAGCGTCTCTCATATGTTCCGCCATGTGCTTCTCGTCCGCGCTTGTTTACATCAGAGTGCGCACGCGTCTTTCACGCAGCATACAGCGGTGTTGTGCGTTTTGACCAGTTGATGTGAAAAGTATTCTTAAAATGCATTCAAAATTCTGAATAATTTGTTATATATACTGTAATTATTCACGGTATTTAGAACTGCCCACGATAACAATATCGTGCATATTGATTACCGTGATATATCGCATTACCGAATACCGGCACAAGTCTAGTGGGCAGTTAGTGTAAATAGACCCTTCCAAAAGAAATTTGCACTGCATGAAACTGGCTGGAAACTCCCTTTGGCGCCAAGGAAATGGTGCATTTGCATGCATACTCCAGAACTAACTTATTCTTTTCAGACTTTAATTCACATAGCTTGGTTCAAAATGCATGTAATTTGCATAAATCGAATTGATAATTCTTTATTAAAATCAAACAAAACAAATTATTTAAATGAGCAAAATTTAATTGTTTAATTTAATTGGGGTCATAATTATTTGTATTCAGTGTATGAGTATCGTCTTTATACAGAGCAACCTCTCAGATTAAGATTTCTGTTCACTGTATACGATGATGTACTTAAGATGAGTTGTCTATGTATAAAATTTAACACAATTATAAGGACACCTAGAGTGTGGGATTTTTGCACTTTCAGTTGTTCCTGCTAATTTTTTTATATACATTTTAGAAAAAATTTTGTTGAGCTGAGGGGTGTGATAACTGTCAGCTTGAAAGTTTTTGGAATATGTCCTAAAGAAAGTGAAGACAAAAGAAATAGTTCACCCAAAAATTAAGATATGCTGAAAATTTACTCTCGGTCCATCCAAGATGTAGATAAGATTTTCTTAATTGAAAAACAGAGAAATTTAGCATTACATCACTTACTTGCCTATAGATCCTCTGCATCAGAATGAGTCCAAACAGCTGGGGGGAAAAAGTCACAAACATGACTCCAGTTCATCAACGAATGTCATGTAAACTGAAAAGCTGTGTTTGTAATCGACAAATCATCATTTAGAAAATTTTGACTTCAAACATTTGCTTTTGGCTAAAATACAAGTCCTCTATCCATAATATTGCTTTCTCCAGTGGGGGGGGGGGGGGGGGGGGGGGGGGGGGGTTTTTCTATGTCTAATCAAGAGAGAAATATGCACAGGTAAAGCACAGTTTACAACAAATACGGCTGTCGATTTTTCAGTGCAGGAAGCATCATTATGGATTATTTATTTCTAGATTACGATATTTTGTCTAAAACCAATGGTTTAAAGAAAAATGCCTGCGTTTGTTTCTCACAAACACACAGCTTTTTATGGGGGGGGGGGGGGGGGGGGGGGGCTGTGCATATTTCTCTCTGAATCAAGAGAGAAATATGCACAGGTAAAGCACAGTTTACAACAAATACGGCTGTCGATTTTTCAGTGCAGGAAGCATCATTATGGATTATTTATTTCTAGATTACGATATTTTGTCTAAAACCAATGGTTTAAAGAAAAATGCCTGCGTTTGTTTCTCACAAACACACAGCTTTTTACTTCACAAGATGTTAATTGATGGACTGGAGTTTTGGTGTGGATTGCTGTGATGTTATAATCAGCTGTTTGAACTCTTATTCTAATGGCACTCATTTACTGCAGAGGATCCATTGGTGAGTAAGTGATGTAATGATACATTTCTCCAAATCTGTTCTGATGAAGAAACATTGATGAAGAGTTTATTTCTTTTATAATAATAAATTGCAGTTATGAGATTAAAAGAAACTCATATTTCATGTGCTTAGTCAATTTAGGGGCTAGCATACATGAATGTTTTGATGTCTGTTGTACTGTGCCATTAAACTGACGTTAACTTGTATTTTTCTTTTTTGACCTAGGCCCGTTAGTGCTGAAAGAGGAGAGTCAAGAACTGAATGAAATAGAAGAGAAAGATGAGAAGCATCTTGGTTTTAGGATTGGAGGAAAATCCCCACATACTAAAAATACTTCATCAAGAAAAAGAGCTCAAAAGAAAGCAACTAGGAGTTATTTCACCTGCTTTCAGTGTGGAAAGAGTTTCAATCAACATGGAAACCTTGAAGTACACATGAGAGTTCACAATGAAGAGAGCTCTTTCACCTGCCAACAGTGTGGAAAGGGTTTTACTGAGAAAGGAAGCCTTAAAGCCCACATGAAAATTCACACTAGAGAGAATCCTCTCACCTGCCAACAGTGTGGAGAGAGTTTTACTGAGAAAGGAAGCCTTAAAGCTCACATGAAAATTCACACTAGAGAGAATCCTCTCACCTGCCAACAGTGTGGAAAGAGTTTTACTCAAAAAGGAACTCTTAAAAGCCATATGAGAATTCACACCAGAGAAAAGCCTTTCACATGTGGACTGTGTGGAAAAAGCTTCATACGAGAACTAAACCTTAGATATCACATGAACAATCACACCGGAGAGAAGCCGTTCACATGTGATCAGTGTGAAAAGAGTTTCACACGTAAAATAGGTCTTAATAGCCACATGCGAATTCATTCAAGAAAAAACAGTTTTAAATGTAATCAGTGTGGAATGAGTTTCGCAGACATGGATCGTCTTAACAGGCATGTAATAATTCACTCTGGAGAGAAGCCTTTCATATGCCAGCAGTGTGGAAGGGGTTTCAAATTCAATAAAAACCTTAAGACGCACATGAGAATTCACACCGGAGAGAAGCCTTTCACGTGCCATCACTGTGGAAAGTGTTTTGGTCATAAAGTAAGCCTTAAGACTCACTTAAGACTTCACACGGGAGAGAAGCCTTACACATGCTCTTTGTGCAGTAAGAGTTTCACATATAAATCAACCCTTAATGCCCACATGAGAAGTCACACTGGAGAGAGCCCTTACACCTGCAAACTGTGTGGGAAGAGCTTCTCACAAAAAGGAAATCTACAGACTCACATGAGAATTCATACTGGGGAGAAGCCGTTCTTATGTGGTCAGTGTGGAAAGAATTTCAGATGTAAAGTAACCCTAATTTACCATATGAGGATTCATTCAAGAGAGAACTGTTTTATATGTCAACAGTGTGGAACAAAATTCACAGACCGTAAACACCTTAAAGATCATGTAAGAACTCACACAGGAGAGAAGCCTTTCATGTGCCATCACTGTGGGAAGAGTTTCACACTTAAAGGAAACCTCAAGACTCACATGAGACTTCACACAGGAGAAAAGCCTTTCACATGCAAACAGTGTGGAAAGAGTTTCAGACATAATGTGAGCCTCCAGACTCATCTGAGACTTCACACTGGAGAGAAGCCATTCTCATGTCTTGAGTGTGAGAAGAGTTTCACATACCAAAGAGATCTGAAGCGCCATTTGCAAACTCATTCTGTAGAGAAACTGCAGTCTGACAAGAAGTTAACAAAAAGGGGCCATTTAAAAAATCCCCTGCCCATTCACCCTGGCAGAAGGCAACTTAATTGTGATCAGTGTAATAAAACATTTCTTTTGCCATCACACTTAAAGATACACCTAAAAAGTCATGCAGATGTAAGACCCTATTTGTGTTTCTTGTGTGGAAAGAGTTTTAAATGGCTCAGAAATTTAAAATGGCACCAGAAAATACGTGTCTGTGTGAAATCAAGGCTACGTTCACACCGCAGCTGAATGTGACCAAAATCAGAATTTTCTGCTCAAATATGATTCCTTTCCTGTAATTTCAAATATTGATCAATTATGGTAGGCATCCTCTTTCCACTGTGTAGCAGCATCTCTCCAAACATTTGTTTTAATAACTCAGAATCTTGCCACTGGCCATTTCCGTTGTCCTCTTTTTTTTGTGTAGATTGAAAAGCACAAACAAACATTTGCATGGTCTCATTTAATCTTTCTCAATTTATTTCCCATGTCCGCTCGTTGTTATATTACTCATTTTCTTTGGCCTTGCAGGTGTTTTTTTTTTTTTTTGCTTTATTTAGTCTTAAGATGTGTGTTATCATAAGTTAAAGGCAGAGTAAGTGATTTCTGGTAGCCAATGTTGATATTTGAAATCACCAAAACAAACACTCCCCTACCCCAAAAGGGTCTTGCCCCTATTTTGATAGCTCCGCCCCACATATACGTACACAACCCAGGCAACGAATAGTTCTGCCTTCTGTCAAACAAAGCAAAACCAATGTTACACCGTGTCTACGGACGTGAGTGGCGCGGCGCAACAAATCCCGACAGAAAACTGCTGCGAGGTTCTATTTATGACGTGCTGACACAAATTTCAAATGGTTTTCAAAGGTCGTTTGATCGTGTCCAGTGTAGGCAGACTTTAACTGTTGTAGACACGGTGTTACTCACCTATTGAGAAGAAACAAAGCAACCTCGGCATCCAATCGCAGGCCTCCGCTCCTTGAGTTCTCTCCAGCGCTGGAAAGCTGATCAGATATTTACACGGGTCCTACTTCTTGCCTTATCGTTCCGCAGACGTTTCCTCTTTTGTTTTCTAAAGTGTTCTTGAAAAATCACATACCCTGCCTTTAAAGATAAGAAGGCATGTGTCCATTTCAGTGTTTCAGCTGTTTGGTGTAACACTGACAGTCTGACTGAACATTGAGAATTGAGAAGGACACAATTAAGATTATTCAATCGACTTCTGCTTCCTGCTCTTCCCCTGCCTCTGTCAGGCAGTATGACGGGATTCCTAATGACAGAAGCTGAATAACATTTGTTATCTTATTAACATGCTGGGTGCTTCTCATTCCTTATTTGTGCATCCACGTTTCTTTTCCTTTCTTCCTTTTGTTGCGTCTTAGCTTCACCCCCCTCAGGATGCAAGGATGAGAAGGATGCATGAAAGAAAACGAGCATGGGGGAATCAAAGGAAAGCTTATTTGTACTTTGGAATATTCTTGATCAATCAAGTGTCACTTGAAAGTGTCATCAGCTGCGCTCAAGGGATCCGTTGTGTTGTTAAAGTTTGGTTAAGACATTCATAATATTAATAAAGCAAGATGAAAGCAAAGATAAAGCAAGATGTTGAAATATATGAGATGTATGGTTTGTTTAACCTGCAAGGGTAAATCATAAAATCCAATTATTATGACCGATGTGAAGGGGAATGATAATTTGCCTCAGGTTTTCAGGCAAGGCAAGTTTATTTAAATAGCACATTTCATACATAATGGTAATTCAAAGTGCTTTACATAAAAGGAATTAAAATAATCATTAAAAAAATAATCACAACAATTGAAAAAGGAATTTAAAAACTTAAAATAATTTAAAAGTTGATTTAATATGAATTAAACCAGTTAAGAATAGAAAATCATAATACTTAAAATACAGTGCAATCAGTTCGGACGTAGCACAGTGCTCATTCAGTAAATGCACAGCTAAACAGATGAGTTTTGAGTCTGGCTTTAAATGTGGCTAATGTTTTAGAACATCTGGGGCCTGTTCCATAAAACAAGTTTACTAAATAAGCCAGGCTTATTTTAGTTAGTCTGACGTATTTTGAACCAAATCAACTGACAATAAGTCAGACTAACTGAAATAAACCTGGTTTATTTGGTAAACTTGTTTTATGAAACAGGCCCCAGGGGCCTCATTTATAACATGTTGTGTATAAACCGTTCAAATTTTTTTCTAAGATAATTTCTCAAAAGTGCGTAAGTTCAATTCAGAGAAAACGAACCTGCGCACAAAAACACGTGCGTACGCCTTTCGTCCAGATGTGGCATTTATAAATCGCAAATGATCTTGAAATTGTGCACAGCTGACTGGTGTCAGATCTCCTCCGCCTTGTAAACGCCCCCGAATTAATATCATTACCATATAAAAGAGCACACGCCAATATCCGAATTTCTATGCTTGAGAATGACGTGCACAAAGAAAAAAAACTTTACTGAGTCTGAAATTGAGGTTCTGCTGGTGGAGGTAGGGGTTTGTGCGGGGACGCTTTTTATTTAACAATGTGTAATTATTCTGTGGACAAACAATGTGTGTGGTTATATTTTTTCTATTGACTATTATCAAAATTACTACTTCTAGAAATAACAAAAATAATAATAATAGTAGTAGTAATTATAAAACAATTAGGTTTCCAAAAGTAAGAATAAACTACGAATTCAAGTAAAATTTTCAGTCATCTTATAAAAAGTGAGCCATCCTACTTTTAAAATCACTTACTATGACAACTAATAAAAAGTTTATCACGAAATTCTTGCAAAACTTAAAAAAAAACGTTATTGAAAGAAAAATTGGACGTTTCATATCATAATAAAATAAATTATTACACGATTATGGTTTCCGGTCTGAAAAAACCTGCATGCGATTTGGCATTTCTTTATATTTACACGGTTTACTAATGCTGCTCAAATGTGCCATTAATGTAGCCTACTGACACAAAAATATATAGTAGGGCTGCCTTAGACTATGGATTTTTCTGGTCGACTAGTAGTCGTTCATTTTAAACATTAGTCGACTAATCGCACGTTTATTAATAAACCATTTAAATCATTATAATGAGCCTTTAATTGCCTACAAAGCCTAATAAGCGCTCACAAGCATAAAGCTTGCCACAGTGCACCTGGCAGAAGCTATGATTATGAATGTGTGAGGGAAAAACAGTAAGGAGGCTGCATTAACATTTTAATAATTCACTGATAAGCAAGTCTTTTGGTTTAAAGGGGTCATATGATGCTTTTTTAAAGATCATTATTTTGTGTATTTGGTGTAACAGAATATGTTGACATGCTTTAATGTTCAAAAAACACATTAGTTTTCAAATACTGTACATTATTGTAGGTCCTCTATGCCCCGCCTCTCTCAAACGCTTAGTTTTCTACAAAGTCCCTCCTTCCGACAAGCGCAGTCTGCTCTGATTGGCCAGCTGACCCAGTGCATTGTGATTGGCCGAACACCGCAAACACTCGTCGGAAATGTAATGCCCCTTACCATAATCGCGAGCTTCAGCTTTCAAAATAAATGTAAAGACAGAGCCTGAAAGGGGAACAGAGTCGCGTGACAGACACAGTGATGAAGCTGGTCTCTCTCGCTCTCTCTCTCTCACACACACGATGCACGCACACACACACGATGCGCAAAACTCCGCATTTGAACAGTCAATAGCAAATACTTAAACTAATAACAAAACAGTCGCTGATTCAGAAGCGCCAGATTGTCATAGCAAAGTCAGAATGACCTCCTCTCCTAGGTTCACGAAACAGTCGTCCATAAAATGCATTGCTGTTCTGTTGTAAGTAATCTTAAAGATTCCTAAATGCATCTACTTCCGGAAGGCCAAATAAAGTGCTTTTGCTTTCCCGCGACCAACCCGCAAATAATCAGAACGCAATTTTATTACCTGACCCGTGGATTATCCGCAGCACCCGTGGATATAGGAAAAGCTAAATATATTTGCTGCGTAAATCAGACGGACTTACTGAAAATGCTAATTCATTCTCTGCCAGCAGGAGGTGCTTTACAGAGGTTTCCCCAGTAACGGCTGTACACAAAGCAGCGCTGAGCTCAACCAATACCCGCGCCTCATTTAGATTTTTAAACGTGCAGTACGTGCTCATGTTTATTCAACGAAGCCTTTTGGAAAATCGGTCAGTTTTGATATTGTGGAGACCACCACAAATAAATAAATGTATGGGAAACACATACCACAGCACAACCACTTGAGCCCAACTTCAGTCTACTCATCACCTTAACTTTAACTGCGTTTGTAGCCGGCGCCATAGCCAGACTGATAAAAAGACCGGACACTAGGCGCGTGCGCCCGATGAAACGTCTATATAAAGTTTGAAGCATCAGATTCGGCATCGGTATCGGCAGATCACCATGACAAGAAATTGGTACTCCGTATCGGCTGCAAAAATCCTGATCGGAGCATCTGTTTAGAACTCTTGCACCAAGTTTGTTTGGGTGGAGGCCATCCAGTTTAAAAAGTTGTCTATGGCCCCAGAAAAGATTGAAGTTGTTGATGAAGTTCACTTTTTTTATACTGCAGGTTCTTGTAGCCATGTATTAAGCCCAAGCAACTGTGAAAACATGTTAGTTCCCCTTGCTGGGAGTGGTCCACTAATGAATGACTTAACTTTAAAGGGGTCATCGGATGCTAAATTCACTTTTACATGTTGTTTGAACATAAATGTGTGTTGGCAGTGTGTGTACACATCTACCCTACAATGATAAAA